GAGCGATAAAAAAATCATTCAGATCGAGAACTCAATTTTGTAGAGTTCTCTAACTTTCAATTCCCGGAAAAAAATGTAGAGATTGCAAAAATCAAGTGAAGAGCGCGCCAGCGGTGATTAACGCCTTAGACAACAGAAGTCACGATACTTTCTTTTCGTCCTGTGGCAAGTTACCAAACAAAAATATCATTTTTTGTTGCCTTTCCCAATGTCCTCGTTGCTTATTAGGGAGCCTTCACTATTTATGGCGGGGGGAAGGCTGGCAAGGATAATGGGAGGGGGGAGGGTCTTGGTAAATTCAGGAACTAAAATGGGGAGTCATTAGAAAAATTTGGGAATAATGCAGGGGGGGTCAAAAGCTTTTTGTTGTTACATATCATCTACAAATGTGGGTTTAAGTTTGTATAACATTTCTATTACCCGCCATACAAGATATAGGGAACAATAGCTAACTTTACATACGCTGGAAAGCTATTCTTCTTCAAGTTATAATAATGTTTATTTCAAAACCTATATTACAAGATTGCAGTGAAGGCGAGCTGAGTGTAATATTTACAATAGTATTAACAATATAAAAAACTTATAAAAAGGGATAACAGTGATGAGATGCTCTAAGTTCTAAGTTATTTTACAATTATATTATATAAACTAGCCATGAGTTTTTGGCACGATAGGTATTCTTGGCAAGCTATGATTGTAGTGGGCCAGCAGACAGAATATTAGAAATACACGAACTGGTCTCGGTATCTAGAAAACTATGTGCCAGTACTACGTCCAGACCGAGTTCGACGAGTCAATTCCATGACTGCTATGATGTCCTCCTGACTACTTCCCTTAGTCACTTATATTAACCTCGCTGCTTTGGTAGTCCTAAGGGGGAGTGGGGCTAGCTATTTTTGCAATTACAACTAGAGGGGTCACGACATTTTTAATTCTTATAGAGCACGGTCAGGATTTTTTGTTTAGTCTCACTGAAAACCGTGCCAGCCCACCCCTCCCATAAATAATGAATGCTCCTTTAGAGCAGTGAAAGATATTTGTATAGTCGACGCTTTTGAAAAATTGCCTAACCTGTTAGTTAGCAAAGTTTATTATTAACATTTCAGGATTAATACTACGTCTGTAACTCCCAAGTTCGTAATATTAATGATAACATAAAAGATGTGCATTTGCCAAAACTCGCCTGAGACACCCCTCCCTTCGTTTTGATAGTCTCCCCTACCCTACCCGTGCAATCTGAAGGCACGTACGTACGTACGTACGTAGGCTCGGTCAGTCCCCTGACAACCAAACGAAAAGAGGTTGACCGTATTCCATGGGTATTAGGCTCTGCCCCACGCGCGCGAAGCGTGCGTTGGAGCCCCGCTACAAATGATTTGTCTCTACATGATTTATTAAAGCTATTTCACCGCTGACCACTCGTATCTCGGACCATTTTTCTTGCCCCGCTCGTCGCCCGTGATGTAGTAACTCCCTCTTCGTATGACGGTTACACGTGGTTATCGTAGCAGTTCGTGAAATAATGAGTAGAATTTAAAAGGAAAAGAGCCCTTGGGTTAAAGCTAGAAAGAAGCGTGGACGTAAGAGCCAGACATCGAAGGAATTCGATGAAACGTTTCGTTGAAAAGAACAAGGGCTTGAAGAACTTGACGGCGCCGCCGAAACTTTCCTTTGCCTGGAACTTCTCCTCTTCGTCGGCATTCCGAAGCTGTCACGCACTAATTCCAACATGTTTTTTTGGAGAGACTCCCCGCCCGTGTTTCCATTGGCGGTCGGCATTTCGAGTTTTTCAGTGTTGACATAACTTGAAATGTGGACAACTATGGGTGTGAAATGTTGGAAAGACTTTGGAAGCGAAAAAGCCTACTTCATTTTTACACAGGTGTGTCTTCTTTGGAGGAATTAATAGAGTATGAAATCTTACGGATTGCCTTGAAATTTGGTCCAAAGGTTCCCAAGATACCAATCTAAATAACTGTGTGGCGCTTTTCAGTTTTTCGAAATTGATTTCCCGCAATTGTCTCCGACGTAACGCGTATCGATAATTTTTTTATAACCAAACTTAACAGAAAGATTGCAAAGCAACCAAAAGGAATATCGAAAAAGCCCCACACTGTTTTCGCGACCAACCCCTTAAGATCGAAACTGTGCTGAAGTTTCACTTGTGCGGGTAGATTTGATGCCCGATTACTTCGATCAAAGAAAAATCGCTCAGAGAAACATCGTCCGTTTTTTGGTGCATGTAAGAACAGATTGTGTAAATGAAAGTTGCAGACTAAAAAGTTGTCTCAATTGCTTTTTAGAGCCTAGCTTTCTGAAAGACAAGAAAGCTTATGTCAAAGAGATGATTGAAGACTTTAGTATGCATCTTTGCACGTAGTAACGGATGAGCATTTGATTAAAAGCAGTGATAAAAGTCATGCAACACTTTATATCGGTGTATGTATGAACATATTGTGTAAATAAAAGTTTCAGACCAAAAAGCTGTCTCAACTGTTTTTTAGGAGCTAGCTTTTTGAAAGACAAGAATACTTATGGAAGGCCTATATCGCAAGAGGAATACACAAAATTAAACGATGTCATAGAGATGATTGAAGACTTCGGTATGCATCTATCCACATTGAAACGGATAAACATTTAATTAAATGCTGTGATAATACTCATGCAGCACTTTATATTGGTGTAGGTATAAACATACGGTGTAAATGAAAGTTGCAGACTAAAAAGTTGTCTCAATTGTTTTTTAGAAGTTAGCCCTCTGAGAGACGAGACAACCTATGGGAGGCCTACATCTCAAGGGGAGTACACAAAATTAAAAGGTGATGTCAAAGAGATCATTGAAGACTTTGGTATGCATCTTTGCACATAGAAACGGATGAGCATAGACCACTTTCATAAATGGTTGCCAGATTAATATTCTTTTGTTTAAATTTAAATTAGCTTTTCTGGCCTCGTTTTCCAGTACAAAACTCAAAAGAATACATTATCTCAAGCGAGGCCAGAAAGGCTAATTTAAATTTAAACAAAAGAATATTAATCCGGCAGCCATTTATGAAAGTGGTCAATTTAATTAAAAGCTGTGATGATAGTCATGCAACACTTTATATCGGTGTATGTATGAACATATTATGCAAATGAAAGTTGCAGAATAAAAAGTTGTCTCAATTGTTTTTTAGAAGCTGGTCTTCTGAGAGACGAGACAACTTATGGAACGCCTACATCTCAAGGGGAGTACACAAAATTAAAAGGTGATGTCAAAGAGATGATTGAAGACTTTGGTATGCATCTTCGCACATAGAAACGGATGAGCATTTGATTAAAAGCTGTGATAATTGTCATGTAACACTTTATATCGGTGCATGTAGGAACATATTGTGCAAGTGAAAGTTGCAGACTAAAAAGTTGTTTCAATTGTTTTTTAGAAGGAGGCCTTCTGAGAGACAAGACAACTTATGGAACGCCTAAATCTCAAGAGGAGTACACAAAATTAAAAGGTGATTGAAGACTTTGGTATGCATGTTCGCACATAGAAACCGAGGAGCATTTGATTAAATACTGTGATAATAGTCATGTAACACTTTATATTGGTGTAGGTATCAACATATTGTGTAGTGAAAGTTGGAGACTAAAACTTTGTCTCGATTGTTTTTAGAGATAAAAACTAGCTTTCTGAGAGACGAGAAAGCTTATGGAAGGCCTGCATCCCAAAGGGGAGACACAAAATTAAAAGGTGATGACAAAGAGATGATTGAAGACTTCGGTAAGCATCTATCCACATTGAAACGGATAAACATTTGATTAAATGCTGTGATAATAGTCATGCAGCACTTGATATTGGTTTAGGTATAAACATACTGTGTAAATGAAAGTTGCAGACTAAAAAGTTGTTTCAATTGTTTTTTAGAAGCTAGCCTTCTGAGAGAGAAGACAACTTATGGAACACCTACATCTCAAGGGGAGTACACAAAATTAAAAGGTGATGTCAAAGAGATGATTAAAGACTTTGGTATGCATCTTCGCACATAGAAACGGAGGAGCATTTGATTAAAAGCTGTGATAATAGTAATGCAACACTTTATATCGGTGTATGTATGAACATATTGTGCAAATGAAAGTTGGAGACTAAAAAGTTGTTTCAATTGGTTTTTAGAAGCTTGCCTTTTGAGAGACGAGACAACTTATGGAACGCCTACATCTCAAGTGGAGTACACAACATTAATAGATGATGTCAAAGAGAAGATTGAAGACTTTGGTATGCATTTTCGCACATAGAAACGGAGGAGCATTTGATTAAAAGCTGTGAAAATTGTCATGCAGCAATTTATATCGATGTATGTATGAACATTTTAATTTGAATATATCAACAAAGTTGAACTGGTAAATTGGCCACCGTTACGGTTATAAAAGCTGACGTTCCGAGCGTTAGTCCTTCGTCGGAGCGAATGGAGGAATTGTGGGTTGTGTGTGCTTTAAAAGGCAGAAAGTGGAGCTACGTGATTTGTGGGCACATGGCAACGAGAAAAACAGGAATAAATTAGTGGAATGAAAAGCGTTCGTTGATACTTGTGAGATTTAGACTGCCGGTTTGAAAGTTCACCTTTTGTGGAAGAGTTTTGCGGCATTCCGTGCTTCCTAGGTTTAAGGAAAGACCGCAGATTGCCATATGTTGCTTAGAATGATTGGGTAAATTAAGATGTCTAGCGACTGGTTTCGATGTGTTCTTGTCATTCCTCTCCACGTCGCGAAGGTGTTCTCGGAATCGGTCACCTGGTCTTCTGCCTGTTTCGCCGATGTAAATCTTTTTGCAATAAGTGCAAGTTATGCAATAGATTACATTGGCGGAGGTGCACGTGAAGTGATCGGTGATCTTAATGGATCGTTTGGGTCCCGATATTTTCTCAGTGTTGTGAATGAAAGGACACGTTTTGCATCGTGCACGAGCGCATTTAAAAGTGCCTGGTTGGTCATTAGTCTGAAAAGAACTTCTGACCAAAAAATTGCCTATGTTTTTGTCGCGTTTGAATGAAATGAGCGGATCGAGCCTCGGGTATGACCCAACCTTCTCAATTTCGTCGTTCAAGTAGCAGTCAAACCAAGTGAAGCGGGCTCCTCAAGATTATATTAATGAATTAGGGCGGATAGTGTTTAAATCAAAAGTCCACTTCTGATTTATACGATGTTCTGCACTCTTTCGGGTTCAATATTCAAATCATCAATTCATTGATGCAATTTTGAAGGGTACGCTTCACTTGATTTGACCGTAAACAATCCTAAGTTCTTTACTCACATACGACACGACCGGTAATTACGATTCCTGCATGCCAAACAATGTATTGTAATGGGCGGTGGAAGGGTTAATTACATACGGACTTAGTGGGAAACCGGGCACGAATATATTTGGCTCGGGGTCTCAAATTACAGACCGAGGGCGGTGAGGTCCGTAATTCATGACCACGAGGACCCAAAGTACTGTTTTTTCCGTCCGTTACGGCAAAAACCAAGTCAAAGTATCTCATCGCATGACTACTTCCTCGTCTTCTCTGTTCTCGACTCTCATCATTTTATCTCAACCCATCGCGTTCTGGAAAGCTTAAAGGTGTATTCTACAACGAAACCTATTCCTTTTATTTCCTCGGTTCAGAACAAGAAAATCACAATTCATCCGTAAATGCGACATAAATTTAATTTTTGTTTTATCTCAAATTTGATTCCACAATTGGAATTCACGACCTACATCAGAGCCATGCGGGGTCGAACAGCTCACCCTACCCCATGTGGTCTTACACACTTCAGCTTTTATTTTGGTTTTCTAATGATAGGATTGTGTGAACGTGCCGTACAGTTCATGTGATAAATTTGTTTATAATACAGTGGACCACAACTACAACAGACTAAAAGAAAAAGAAAAAATTCTGACTCCACATGTGGAATCGAACATCAGAGCTGATTCCACACTCTGACGCTTCACCACTGAGCCACAGAGACTCTATGATGAAATAAACTATTTTTAGATTCAAATGCGACACGCGTCTTGTTCCCGCTCGTGACATCGAGAAAAACATTTCTCTTGATTCCATTCTCAAACCTAAATCACCATCTCTTTTAGTTTAAACCTATTACCTGCTTGTTTCATAGTTTCTGAAGTAGCTATGATCAAATTATTCATCAAACCCAGGAAATTCGAATTCCTTTGGCCAAAGAGCAGTTTTTGAAGGCGCTTTTGGACCTGAGTCTGGATCAGACCCAATGGAGTGTAAATCAAAGGCCAAGACAGACAGCAAGCTTGAAGGTCAGCAACAGCAGGAGGGGATGGAAATTGGGTCAATGGCTTTGTCACAAAGCATAATGCAATTTACTTCAAACGAATCTGGGCCTGAGTCTGGATCAGACCCCATGGAGTGTGAGTCACAGGCAAAGACAGGCAGCAGGCTTGAGGATCCGCAAGAGCAGGAGATGGAAATTGAGCGAAATGCTTTGTTACAAAGCATAATACAATGTACTTCAAACGGGTCTGAGAGGTAAGTTTCTTAAACATCACGAGTTTTCACAAGATAACAAATGATTCATTTCTACTCAACCTATCCAATCTTGTTGCCACCTCGAGATATCGACAACGGATGCATTAATACATCGCTTCGTTTTCTCCCCTAGTTATCTTCATCATTTTCTCGTCTTTACTATCATTATTATTAGTTGTTGATATATATCAAAATATATACTTAAACAGTGGATAGTGCTGAAGGCGCATTCTGATTGGCTCCGAGCAACTTGCGCGGGGTTTTCTTCAGAAAATATTGTAATTTTACGGGAATAAATAAGTTAAAATCATCTAAACATTTCACAGTTTGGATAAATATCCACCACTAGCCAGTATATGTTGTTAATTGTTATTATGATTAATAACTTTACTATCATTATTTTCCGCTATCATGCTAATCTTATTTTCCAATATGCACAAAGTGTTTTGCTAATGTTTCCTTTCGAAATCAAGTCAGCGCGTCTGACCTAAGGTGTATGAGATGTAGCCAGGTATTTTAAGCATTGCCCAGTACACTAGTTCTCCGTAGTCCACTGTAATCGTTTAAATAAACGTGCTGCATTGATTCACTGCTGGCCACTTTCCCGAGCCTTTCATAATTGCCCCAAATTATCCTTCTTTTGCTATTACATGTATTTCTGAACGGTTAGACATGAGCTACTACAGTAATGCTNGCTCACCCCACCCCATGTGGCCCTACACGCTTCAGCTTTTATTTTGGTTTTCTAATGATAGGATTGTGTGAACGTGCCGTACAGTTCATGTGATAAATTTGTTTATAATACAGTGGACCACAACTACAACAGACTAAAAGAAAAAGAAAAAAACTCTGAGTCCCCATGTGGAATCGAACATCAGACCTGATTCCACACTCTGACGCCTCACCACTGAGCCACAGAGACTCTACGATGAAATAAACTATTTTTAGATTCAAATGCGACACGCGTCTTGTTCCCGCTCGTGACATCGAGAAAAACATTTCTCTTGATTCCATTCCCAAACCTAAATCACCATCTCTTTTAGTTTAAACCTATTACCTGCTTGTTTCATAGTTTCTGAAGTAGCTATGATCAAATTATTCATCAAACCCAGGAAATTCGAATTCCTTTGGCCCAAGAGCAGTTTTTCAAGGCGCTTTTGGACCTGAGTCTGGATCAGACCCCATGGAGTGTAAATCAAAGGCCAAGACAGACAGCAAGCTTGAAGGTCAGCAACAGCAGGAGGGGATGGAAATTGGGTCAATGGCTTTGTCACAAAGCATAATGCAATTTACTTCAAACGAATCTGGGCCTGAGTCTGGATCAGACCCCATGGAGTGTGAGTCACAGGCAAAGACAGGCAGCAGGCTTGAGGATCCGCAAGAGCAGGAGATGGAAATTGAGCGAAATGCTTTGTTACAAAGCATAATACAATGTACTTCAAACGGGTCTGAGAGGTAAGTTTCTTAAACATCACGAGTTTTCACAAGATAACAAATGATTCATTTCTACTCAACCTATCCAATCTTGTTGCCACCTCGAGATATCGACAACGGATGCATTAATACATCGCTTCGTTTTCTCCCCTAGTTATCTTCATCATTTTCTCGTCTTTACTATCATTATTATTAGTTGTTGATATATATCAAAATATATACTTAAACAGTGGATAGTGCTGAAGGCGCATTCTGATTGGCTCCGAGCAACTTGCGCGGGGTTTTCTTCAGAAAATATTGTAATTTTACGGGAATAAATAAGTTAAAATCATCTAAACATTTCACAGTTTGGATAAATATCCACCACTAGCCAGTATATGTTGTTAATTGTTATTATGATTAATAACTTTACTATCATTATTTTCCGCTATCATGCTAATCTTATTTTCCAATATGCACAAAGTGTTTTGCTAATGTTTCCTTTCGAAATCAAGTCAGCGCGTCTGACCTAAGGTGTATGAGATGTAGCCAGGTATTTTAAGCATTGCCCAGTACACTAGTTCTCCGTAGTCCACTGTAATCGTTTAAATAAACGTGCTGCATTGATTCACTGCTGGCCACTTTCCCGAGCCTTTCATAATTGCCCCAAATTATCCTTCTTTTGCTATTACATGTATTTCTGAACGGTTAGACATGAGCTACTACAGTAATGCTGCTACTGTTTCTTTCCTAAGCCTGATTTTTTAAAAATTATCATGTCGTTTTATCACGAACTTCTAGACGTGCCCCTTTTCTCTCGTAGTTTTCTTTGCTTAACTGCTATGGCAAAGTTGTCTTAGCGTGTCTTACTCTTTAGTGATAGTTCTTGGAAAAACGTTTTCCCTATCATCAGGCTATAACGTATCTCTTTTTCCGCTTTCAACAAAGCTACTTAGGTCATTGACTTAAGAAAACTGCATAGTGATGAATTCTCGTCAGACTCAGTTCTCTACCGTCCTCTGAGCCCTGTAGCTCAAATGGCGAAGACAAACCGATATTCAGCGATTAAAACTTTCCAGCTTGTCAGTATGGGAATTCCTGCCACCAATAGCACTCCTAGTCTGTTTGTATATTAAAATTTATATGATTTATTTGGAATTTTTAGTTGTTTAATTGACAAAAGTGGGGCACTATGGAAGCTGCAAAAAATCCAAGTTGCCGCGTATATTGCATTTTCCCCAAACGCTGTTCCGACACCCATCTGGTTCAGGTGTACCCTTTTGGATTCAACAATGGAACGTCTGCCTTTGGGGAAGAATGAGGAGTTGGTTAGCGATGTGATACACCTGTCATATAATGAATCATCAAGCTCTGGTTTCACTGGGGAGTTTGATGAAACAGTGACAGTTGCCCTCTCACATAGTGCCGCTAAACTTAAAGGATATGAAGTTGTAATTGGCGAGCTAGTTGATTCGACTAAAAGCGAGTGGACCGATTTGGAGACAATAAACGTTTGGGAAACCCCAGGTAATAATAGAGGCTAAAACGTGTGTCTAATTCCTAGGAATTCTTTCCCACAATCACCTTCTTTTCCATTTTTATTATTGCTGATTCATACTTTTCCCTTAAAACTAAAAATGTGACAAAGGTTTTCTGCGTTTCTCATGATTTCTGCCCATGGCTTGCATGAAAAGTCTCATGGACATGACATATTCTGCGTTGAGAGCTTTGGATATTCTTCGAACTCAATACGTCTTTACTGCTGGCTATCTAAGTATCTTTAACATAGTAGGCATCTCGCCTTTTTAAACTGCAATGTTAAAGAGCACGTATTGGTTACATTTCCCTTCGCTCAAACGCCTCTGTTTTTATCAGATGTCGAAGGAAGCCTCTTGTCAAGGCTAAGAGTGCCATACGCTGAGGCCAGAGTGACACGCTGTTCCACCTATGCTGCTTTCTGCAGATTGAAGTCGCACACATTCTCTGTTGAACATACGCGTAGTCAGAAGTTTATCTGTAAAATCCCGGAGTATCCAGACTTACAGGTTACAATTCCTGCCAAAATTGAGACTGAAAGGAACTTCCATTTAACACTGAAGGTATGCTCCTGAACCAAGTAATAAATAGATTTTAAAAAGCATAGAAGAAAAACTCGGGATATTTTTGCAAGTACTTTATTACACTTCTGATGGATATAGACCACTTTCATAAATGGCTGCCGGATTAATATTCTTTTGTTTAAATTTAAATTAGCCCTACTGGCCTCGTTCTCCAGTACAATATTCAAAAGAATACATTATCTCAAGCGAGGCCAGAAGGGCTAATTTAAAGTTAAACAAAAGAATATTAATCCGGCAGCCATTTATGAAAGTGGTCTATTGTAAAGCCAATAGTTGCCCTCAGCATTGAGATGACGGCATTTGTCGCAAAGTGATCGTGTTATAAGCAATTGCTGTGTTTTAATTAAGATACTACTAAGGTTGTGTATTTATTATGTATCTGGGTGCCAGCACCACCATAGTATCAATGGAGGACTTGTTTGTTGTCAATTCATACTTCATTCCGCCCAGGATCGGTCATTTGACGAAGTTGAAGAAATGGGTAAATGTTACGTTAAATATACGTTTCTTCGATGGACAGCCATCCCATCCAGGGTGGAGTAGAAATATTACCAGTCACCTCATGCTACGAAAATCGAAGTTAAGCACCGGCCTGATGGGCCACTTGGCTCGTAAACAGACTCTACCCTTTTTTCGCAATTTATTTTTTGCAATAAACACGGACTACTATGGAAGCCTTTAGTATCTACACTAGTCTGATAGTGTTAAAACTTCACGTCAACTATTAGACATTCGTGGAACTCGTCGAGTAATCTCATTTTGCCCATACACTCGGTTTACGCTGTTATGGCTCCCTTTTTGCTTTATAACAGAATAAGGTGCTGTCCACGCCTTGACGACATTTCAAACCAACGCGTTTTTTTTTTATTCTGTTTTTTTTCTTCTTTTCTTTTTTCTTTTCCATCTTTTCTCTGCGGAACATTTTTTCTACAGGGAAGAACTCAGAGTGCAGATAGTTATGTTCAGATTACTTTATTTTGAAGGTACAAGAAATCCCAGAAGAATGGTTGGAAGAATGTGGAGTCTTGGTTGGACCTGTATTGCATATCACATGTTCCAGCGCTCTTCAACTATTAGAACCAGCAGAAATTACACTTCCCCTGTCGCTCAGAGCTGACGCGAAACGATATAAAGATTTATCAACCCGTGGTATAGTGGTGTCAGCAAATGCTGACGACGGAATAACAGGCTGGAAAGATATAACAAAGGAGCTGCCAAGACCAGTGAAACTAAATGATGGAATGGTGACATTTCAAGTCACACATTTTACTCGGTGTGTTAAAAGGTTTCAATTTGCTCTCTCAAATGATCATTACTTATCAAAACAGAACGAGGGTCTTGCCTTTTTTAAAATGATATGACAATCTGCGGACTTTTTAGGTGATTAAAAAGCAAGAAAGCACTTATGAGTCATATTCATATACCCTTACCATACCTTGTACCTTGTAGAAGGTTAATTCCAAGAAATATGCTCTCTTTTTACTAACTGGTGCGTGCGTTCTTCAGAAAATTTTCTTACTGCTTGAAAAGGTACGAAATAATCCAATAGTTGGTTATGTGTTTCTTACACTTTTGAGGGTAAATATTTTTACCAAACTTGAAGAACAAAGAATCAACGCTGACATGACGAATCATTTCTTTACAGGTTTTGTGTATCGCAAAAGAAGAGAAAACTTTTAAGAGACAAGAGGAGAAGAAGGTTAAGTGGGCAATCTCTTCTATATCATCTTGCTGATATGAAGCCAAGAGCGGCCGGATTCGCTGCGTGCTTGTGCAAAGCCCACGAGTATGGTGGTAGAAATTCTCAATTGAGATTTTGCTGTTATCCTAGTCATTTGGAAAAACGAGTAAGAGAGGAATGGTTTTCTACATACTCAGTCTTCCTTTATGGATGTGGAAGCTCTAACGAGAATCTCTATGAAGATGTCCAAATAACTGCATCGCTTCATGAGGGTCTCAAAACTTGTAATGACGCATCAGCTGATGATTTTATTTTGAGGTAATATTGTAAGAAGTATCTTTTACCACATGAGTGCTTACTAACTTGAGAAGTTTAAATTAGATCTATCTCTCGACTATTAACTTTGAATTTTTTAACAAAATGTATGCCAATCAAATCTAATTTGAACTTACTAAGGAAGATTTTAACAGAAGGAAGGTAATTGGAATCATCTACACCGCTGAAGCACTTGTAAAAACGTTTACATGACTTGCAATTATCGGATTCTTTGGGCCCAGTTGAATTTGAGATAGAAGTCAGATCTTTACGGTCAACGCTATTTGCGAAGGGTGACGTATGTTTTATTTAACAAAATAATACATTTGTTCGCATTCAAGGTTTAATCGTTCAGAGAAGTACGAAAGCGAAGCCATCGTGCAAAGGAAGCCAGGACGAATTCCTCAAATTAAGTTCATTAAAAAGGATGGCTTGAAATGCCTCCGGACCATGAGAATTGTTCCACCTCAAGTAAGATGTAACTGCAACATAACATAAACATTAAACTAAAACCATTTGTCAGATGGAAAACCACAGGAGCAGGAGCTGAATCTATCAAGAACAGTATCACTTTAAATGAAGATAAAAATTTTTTCTGCTTGTTTCCCTGTTTCCTGACCCCAACTGCCCTTTTAGACAGGTTTTCTTATTTCAGTTCCTCTTTTCGCCTCTCGATGTAATCCTAGTGAGATTTACAAAAATTCACTTTCAAAAAGTGCTCATTTTTCCGGTCCTCTCAAGTTATTACTTAACTGTTTCATATAATTTCTCTTTCTTCTCTTACTTTGGCCTCAGGTTTTACAAGATACACTTGGTAAGTCGTTTTTGGACATTCAGTTCGACTAGAAGTGATTTCCAGTTCGAATGTTCGAATGTTTATAGCGAAGAATGGCGGTCTGCACAGGTTTAGATTAAAAAGTCAACTAAGGATTAGTTGACCATTCGGTTTTCATCGTTTCTCGAACTGTGCAAGTTGAGTTATGGTCCTAAAACACTAGTCGAGTCTTAAACGCAATTTCCCCCTGAAGTTACCGTTTGTGTTTTCATCCAGGTTATTTACTCCAGTACATCAAAAGAAAAGCTCGAAACCATTAATACTTTCTTGTAACTATGTTAATAGTTAAAAAAAGTGACACTATTTTGTAAAAGGCAAATTTAAGATCTATGATCGAAGAGAATACACAGTGCGGACTGGAATTCTACAATTTTGCTTGGCAAAGAATCTGTAGGCATGCTGTAAGAATTGAATAGGCCGACGTTTCTTTCTCTTTTGAAAAGAGATATATAAGCATGTACTTTTATTTTTGTCTACAGGTATGTCAGAGGTAGGCGATAGTCCAGAAATTATAAGGATTTCGTCTTCTAATGGTGGTCCAACTCCTAAACGGTCAAAAACGATGAAAGGTATTTTCTGACAAAACGCTGTTGTATAGTGAATGTTGTAAATGAGGTCCTATACAGTCGAATCTGTATTAAGCGGCACCGTATTAAGCGGTAACCTTGTATTGAGCAGTCGCGGTCACCTTTGAGTAAGTCCCGACAGCCTGTGTGTATTACCCTCTACCTGTATTTAACAGTCACTTAATGCGGGACCATTCAAATAAAACTGAGAATATTCTTCAAGTAAGATTTAATCCATATTTATCGCTCGAAATCAATGTTAGTAGTATTTTTGAGCGAGTTTTTGTTCATCAAGCGGTCATAGAAGGCATGAAATGGCGTTTTTATCGTTTTTTATGTTACTATTTCCTGTGGAACCTGCATTAAAGAGGCCAACCTGCCGTTAAGCGGTCACTCACGGTGAAAACTCGTAAGCAGTTCAGGAAATGAGCGGTTTGACTGCACTCTGTTTCCTCTCTAAAGAATAGGTTCCGAAGTGAATTTTGTATTTCAAGTTACTTATATTACACGGGCATACAGAGTGAATGATAACCGAACCAACAATACCTGTGGCAGTGGTCTTTTTGTTGTCTACTGCTTTAACACGTAGACACCAATGGAAGAGCGCAAAAATTTTTGAAAAGTAATTCATATAACGCAACCCATGACGTCATACAGGTAAGGCCACGGTTAAGTAAACATTTTGTGATAAAGGATGTGAATGAGAAGGAAAATGTTAACCAAAAATGTGTAGCCAAATCGATTTATAATCGAGAGGAGTCGGGAACGAAAAGGCTACGACGAATCCCGTTCAAGAAAAAACGAAGCGAGAAATAGTCAAGACCAACTGAATTAAGAAATGAAGAGTAAACGACGAATTGATGAATTCGTGTGGTTTTTGACAATGTGCCTCGACAAACCCACGCGAACCAGTAAATCTGCTGTCGTTGAGCTGATAACTTCTCTGAGTAACGAACCGTCTGAGAAAGTTGTAGCGTATTTTAATCGACAAAATAATTTAAAAAGTAGTAGTGCTCATGAAAATGCAAGCGTTTATTTAGCAAAATGTAAGGATTTGGGCTTCCTGCTCTCTTCACGAAAGAGTAATAATTACAAGCGTTTCAAAACAGCTTAAAGAATAGAACGACATAGAGGCCGAGAGCCATCCAGAATACTGATGAACAAGGTTTCAGGACCACGAAGAAAAGAAGAGCTAGATGCAAATTAAAGTTTTTTTATAATGAAATCTTTTCCGAAATCTTCTTGGTTGCATACCTTTGCCGCCGACCATAAGTTGTACAATGTAAGATATCTAAACAGATGTGAGAGTGTAATTGCGTACCTGTACATTACAGCTGGGCTACGATTTTGCTGTTTGATTCAATTTCACTTAGCTTTCTCAGTTTTCGTGTTCTCTGCGTCGTTAGTTGTGGTAGTTTTCTTTGTCAATGTCGATCAAGTTTTTAGCTGTGCGTGCTATTGGCGTTGCAGGATCGATATGTAAGTTTTTGATATTCTGTGTCTATTTTCGTCTTGCTCCAATTCTTTCTAGCCATTGTTTACTTACATTTCGTGCATGTTAATATTATTTAACGATGTCGCGCCCTCGTTGTCGCGTGGAAAGTGTCCATGACATTTAAGAGTTCTTTTTATTGTAATTGAATTGCGGGGCAAGCTCATTAGGTCCAAATTGCTATTTCGTTTTTTAATCGCATTTTTATATTGAGTCGGTTAAGTTCTGATTAAATTTCGTTTGTCAATCTCCACATATTACTCTAGGTTCTCTTAATTTATCGATTTTCGTTAACGAGACAATATAGAAATTTAATAAAGATCAGCGGTTAAATTACTCTGCCGTCTCCGTAACGTATCCCCGTGTTTTCACACGTTACTGCCCACTGCTCGCGAATTTCCTTGGCATTCCAATTTCGCTTTGATGTTCGCTTATCATTACATAGGGATTATTCACTAATTTAGTTAAACTAAACAAAATGAGTGTAAACAAAGGCGAACTTGTGACGCGTGCTTTTTCAGTTAAAGCCTGGTTCACATACAATCGCAGACGATCGTAGGCGATTGCACGAACGCTGAAACCATTCAGCCGAAGATTGCGAATCGCATGTTCACATATGATCGCAGCCGATCGCAGCGATCTGTGACAACCGAGTCCATGGTTTACCGGTCAACGGCAATACAATGTAACTCCATAATTTGGATATATCAACAAAGTTGCAATGGTAAATTGGCCACCGTAACGATTACAAAAGCTGACGTTTCGAGCGTCAGCCCTTTCGCTCCGACGAAGGGCTAACGCTCGAAACGTCAGCTTTTGTATTCGTTACGGTGGCCAATTTACCATTTCAACTTTGTTGATATATCCTAGTTATAAAGTATTCATTACTGCGAAGATCGCTCTCATACTCATTTCTTTAACTGTAGTTCGCACTTATGATTTTCATATGTTCACAATAGTCCTTTTTACAGTTGTGGGCTTGGTGGCTAAGCCTTTGCACAGGAGTGAGGCTAAGGGTGACCTTGTTATGACAGAGATGTTGCTGCTTTTCAAATGCCGTGTCAATTTCACCTTCCATCTTGTCAAAGCACACACACGTTTAAAAGTTGATAAACAACTGGTTGTCACGGTATCATGCCACTTGCATAGCATTATAGGACACATTCCAATCGCATGATCGCAGAACTTTGTTCACATAAAATCGCAGACGATCGCTGGCGATCGAGTGCGATCGCCTGCGATCATATGTGAACCAGGCTTAACCGCAAAAAACAGCTTCAAGTACTCATAGTAGAAGATTTTGTGTGTCAAGAATGAGACTTTTGACTTCAGGTGATACTGAATTAAGTCCAGGTCCTCTTCAAGATGTCAGAAGTCAAACTGCTTTGTCATTAGGCATCACCATGTTGTTAAATTTCGATTTCGTCAGCTGAGATTGAGACTCCTTAGTGTGGGTGGTGCAGGTGAATGTTTGTTAGGAGCTGTTTCTCATCAGTTACATGGCGATCCACATCACCACTTGCAAATTAGACAAAATGGTATTAATTGTCTCAGGACAAACCCGAACATTTCATTGAAAGCAATACCCACATTTCATAAACCACTTTCATAAATGGCTGCCGTATAAATATTCTTTTGTTTAAATTTAAATTAGCCCTGCTGGCCTCGCTTGAGATAATGAATTCTCTTGAATTTTGTACTGGAGAACGAGGCCAGAAGGGCTAATTTAAATTTAAACAAAAGAATATTAATGCGGCAGCTATTTATGAAAGTGGTCTATGGAAGGACTATCTATTAATATGCCACTGCAAGTTTCATGGTGTGATGCACTCATTGTTTAAGCAGTTGCTGAGACACAATACTTTAGATTTCATAATGTAGAATCGCATGAAAGTTTTTGAAGAGCTCATTTATTGCAACAGCCTCCAAGAACAATTTATTTAAGTCATGTTAATAAAGTGCATTATGTGTTAACAGTGCCTTTTAGGTGTAGCACTAGTTCATTAGAAAGTCAGCATACTGATAATTTAAACAAAATAGAACAAAATGTTGTTTCTGAAGAATCACGTGACACCAACTTAAAAAGGAAGCCAACAGGTACATGAGGGAATATAGGAAAAAGAGAAAGGCTGATGAAAGTAGGAAGCAGACATCTAAGGCCAATGAAGTGGGTGTCAAAAGAAATTGCGATCATTTCCTAAGCGATATATGAGCTATGTTCACAAATTGTGTTCAATTTCAGCTAAATAGTGGAAGGCTGTACCCATGTTACCTCCAGGTCCACAGTATTGAACTGTTCCTGTTGACTTGTCCTTCGTCAATTTACTCAGAAAATATTGAACAACACACTTTTGATTTAATTATAATAATAATACTGAAATATCATTGTTACCTTTGAACTGTATTACTTTCCTTGTTTTCTCTTGAATAGCAATACGTCTAGTATTGTCTATATTGTACCAAGCATTTTGTATTTTTTTTTTATGGGAACAGAGCTAACAGAAAGATCTGTATCAGAAGTTTGTGTTCAATGCGATCATAGTAGTTCCCGTTACGTAATATTGAGTTCTTCCAGTTTCATTGCTTAATTCACTTTGAACCAAAGTTTTGATGGAACAGGTGTTTTCCATTTCTCCAAGTAAGCCCATTACTTAGCCCATGACATACCATTATCTGTACTTTGTTGTAAATTGAATTATAAATTGTGTCCATAATGTTCGCGTAATAAAATATATTATATATATAAGGCTAAAAGATTAGGAAAAAATTGTAAAAATGTTTAAACCAAACGTTTTCGGCTGTTTGCCATCATCCTGATGATGGCAAACAGCCGAAATCGTTCGGTTTAAACATGTTAATAATTTTTTCTCAATCTTTTAGCCTTGTATATAGA